GGTTTCTTTTCTTCTAGTTTTTTTACTAGTAAAAGATATTTACCATGAAGTGTGTTACACATTTTTTCATTTAGATGTATATCTGTCTGCTTCCAAAATAGAGATTTGAGGTTGTCCATCATTTTTTTAAATGTCTATAATGAGGCCATTATAATAGAAATCAAAGTCCATATAGAAGGAAGGGTGAATAAATCTATACAGTATCTAAGACAACATACTCACTGAAGTTAAGCAAAATTAACCCTGAGCTTCCTGGCAGCCAAAGCAAAGAAAAGGAGGGTGGGAAGGCAGTGGCACAGAGCTGGTGAACCCTGGAGTAAAGTGTCGCTTGTTGCTGTGGACTTAAGGAACTGTAAACCCTCATCCAGTCCCTTGGAGTTTGCACCAAGCTCTGTCCTGGGCCCCTCACTCAGACAATCCCCTGGCCCTTGCCTCTCCACCCGCCGCAGCCCTTTGTCAGCACATCTGCCTCACCTCCCAGCTCAATGCCTTTGGTGAGTGCTCCCAGGGTCCCTTCCAGATCTAACATACTCTGATTCTAGAGAAAGTGCTGATTAATTGATTAATTGATTGAGTGATTATTTTTTTCTTTCTCTATATGTAATTCCACTTGACAACCTTTCTATTCCAGAGGTCAACAGAAATCCCCACCCTGTCAATTTAATGTTTCTGCTCCCTGCCGAAGAGGCATGAAATCACAGCCTGCCACTGATATTAAAGGTCATTTTCCATGAATTTATAGATGGTAATGTCCAGATAACTTGTGACTTAAAACATATGGTCACCAGCTCCCCTATTAAATTAGTCTCTCGACCCTCACAGATCAGTCTGGGTAATAAGGAGGGTGGGCCCAGTCATTAGGCAGAAGACAGTGACGTCTGGTGAGCTGGCCTGGTGCAGCGGCCCTTGACTTCCTGGGGCCCTGGGCGAGCCTCTCTGGGGAGAGAAGATGCTCCTGAAATGAGCATTTTCTCAGGGAAGGGCAGCTGCTTCCGAAATGCACATAGCTCCTGGAAGCCCAATCTTGCTTCAAACCATATTTACTTTCACGGTCTCCTGTCTTAATTACATTTTTTCTTTCCTGGCGTCCCAATTCATTATTTAAAACAACTTTCAAAAATAATTACACAATAATTCCTTCCCCCATGCACAGTAGCTGCTTACCTATGTCAGGTTGTCGGCTCTTTATTCATGCGTAGCTGTACTGAGAACATTGCTGTCATCAGAGTCTGCGTATTGTGGGCAAAGTGTGTGATGACAGTGCTCAGTAATTCCTAAACAAGGAGTAGCATTCCCTTTGGGGCCTCATCCGCAGTGGCCAGGACTTGTTTAGAAAGCCCACATTATGCAGTTTGCTCAACACATAAACAATCTTGTATTTTACTTTTTAACTTAGCATAATTTCATGCACGCTTTTCCATGTAGCTACATAATCTTCCGATTTATCATTTTAATGGCTGCTTAATATTCCATCTAGTTAGCATGCCATAATTTACTTAACTGTTCCCTATTGTTGCAGCCTTAATGAAAATTTGAATTCACCATGTACTACAGGGGGAAGCTCATTTTAATGATTACCATTATAACATTCCTTGCCCTAACTGCATGCCATTACTAGCCCAGCTTTAGGAAGGCACAGATGCCTTTGGAACAATAAATTCTGTATGAGAGGTGTAGGCACAAGTCCCTCTGGTTTAATAGCTAATCTGTTCACTGCACATGTTTTCCTTTTATGCTGGTGTTTATATAGAATATCCATCTCTTCTGCATATTGTGTAATACTAAACTATATGCATTTGGCATATTGCTCCACATACTTTATCACTGCTCTCAGGGACTTCCAAAAATTAACAGGAATTCGGGGGTAAGGAGTGAGTTTCTGGCTGTCAGTTGTCGTTCATTTTTCCCACCCACACTCATTGAATATCTGCTTGCAGCCAGGCTCGATGAGGGAGAGAGCAAGGGCACACCTGATTATTGGCAGCCCACAGATGTGCATCTGTGAATTGCTTTGTGGTACCCAAGATTAAATGGTGATTCTCACGCAAAGTGCTTTGTAAACTGTAGAGCGCATTACTGGTCGCTGGTCCTGCTTGTAAAGTAGGGTGAAGAGGAAGATGGTTTTCCTGGGTCACTCAGTGCCCATCAGCTGCAGCCCCACTGTCCTCAGACGTCGGAATTTTCCAAGGACAGGAGGCTAGACTGCACTCGTAGAACCAGTGAGAGTAATGCAGATGACAACCCCACAGAACAGATAGTTTGGTCGGTTTAGTGAGTTACAGAGTCATCTATGGTGTCTTACAGTTGGTACTCACTTTGAAGTGACCAAGTCCTACCATTTACAGCTTTTCTCTTTTCTTCTCCCTCCCCCATAAAAAGGGAAACATCATCCTTAAAACTAATAAATGATCCCAGTTTACTCAGGGGACCCAGTAAAGCCATGTTTTGCCAAAGTATGGGACATCTTCTCAGAGGGGATGGGATTTTAGGAGCCCTGAGAACCATATAGCGAGAAGGCTTTTTCCATTTTGTTCCTCTCTCTTTCTAAAAAGAGAAAGTGACTGTTTGCCAAAGAAAGTATCTCTGCGTGCTGCTTGCACCCCCACCGGCTCGCTCGCACTTGCGCGTGTCCCTTCTCAGCGGAGGGAACGCGGGCCTTGTGCTAGCTCCCCAGCGGGCCGGAGGACCTACCTGCTTGGTTTTGTTCTCATTCATTCTTTTTACGCTTACCAACTATTTGTAGTAAAGGATAACAGCTCGTGGGTGGTGATAATAAAATTTTTATCATAAATTTATTAACTCTAAAAAGTGAGGCAACATAAGTAAAAATAGAAAAGAATAACCCAAGCAGTAGTTGAAAACAGCAAAATCATGAGGTTGCTGTGTGAGTTAATGAGGTCTGGGAAACACTACCGTAATGTTAGTTAATGTCAACACTAAGCATTGGCACAGCGTCAGCTGGCTTCTGTAGTATCAGGGCGTGTGCATGGGGATTTTTGTCATCCCCGTGAGCTGGCCCTGGAACGTGAAGCCCAGCCTGAAAACAATGTTCTTGCTCAGATGGGCTGACGTCACCGGGTGTTTTGTCAGCTGCTCTTCAAGGTACATAAGTCCCGTGGGCTTCTACCATGTCTTTATGCCGTTGGAACTCTGATTTGGAGAATGCCTCAAGAGTCCTTTTAGGGGGTGCCTGGGTGGCTCAGTCAATTAGCGTCTGCCTCCGGCTCAGGTCATGATCCCAGGGTCCTGGGATGGAGCCCCACATGAGGCTCCCTGCTCGGTGGGGAGCCTGCTTCTCCCTCTCCCTCTGCCTGTCGCTCCCCCCTGCTCATGCTTGCTCACTCTCTCTCTGTCAAATAAATAAAATCTTTTTTTTTTTTAAATAGCTCACTCTCAACGACCCTCACCCCTTTAATGTCAAACCTTACCTCTCCCCTCTCACCTCCTTGGACCCAGTGCTCCAGCAAAAGTGGACAGTGAATAGACCTACAGTTTTATTCCGCCTCAAAAAGAAACAAAATTCTGACACATGCTACAACATGGAAGAACCTTACAAACATTATGCTAAGTGAAATAAGCCTGTAACAGAAGGACAAGTACCGTATGATTCTCCTTATATAAGGTGTCAGATTCATGGAGACAGAAAGTAGCCTGGTGGCTGCCAGGGGCTGGGGGAGGGGGAAATGGGGAGTTAGTGTTTAATAGGTACAGAGTTTCAGTTTGGGAAGATGAAAAAGTTCTGGAGATGGGTTGTGATGATGGGTGCACAACAGTGTGAATGTACTTAATACCACTGAACTGTATAATTAAAAATGGTTAAAATGACAAAGTGATGTTATGTACATTACCACAGTGAAACTGAAAGGCAGTGAGTCTGTCCATCCACTCCAGCCACACCGCCTTGGCTCCCCTAAGTCCCACCATAGAGAATGCCAACCCTCCTATGTTCACTTGTTGGAGTTCACGTGTCGTCACTCTCCCCCTGCCTCATCCCTTCCAGGCCCTGCACTGAGCCCCTTTGCCAGGGGAATTACGGTGATTTAGGTGCCTGTTATACCTCTTCTGGAAGCAGTGGGCTTCCTGAGGGTAGCCGCTCCAGTGAACCCTCCCTTCCATATGTCCCACGCAGGCCCTTCACAAAGTCAAGCAGGTAAAGTGTCACTGTTTGACTCAGAAGCACCTGATTCTAGTATCCTGGCATCCATCTTTGAGCCACCACTGGCCTCTCAGAAATGAGCAGCAGCTGACGTGGATGCCCCCTGTGTGGGGCCTGGTCTAGACAGGCGGTCACCCCTCAGCCCACAGAGGGCCAGGCCTTGGCATCCTCTCCAGAGGATTAAGAGTTTCCCCCCCTTATTCAGCAGTGAAACTGGACACGTGCTCTCAGGTCCCTCAGATGTGCTCAGTGTGTTAGAAGACAGGCAGGCTCTTGGGGAGGCAGAAACACAGGGAAGGGGGTGCTCATGGGGCTTTGTAGGGGAGAAGATGGTGGCCCTGGGAAGGCTCTTGACTTGTTAGCTGAAGGAAAACTTGAGGATTGTTTGGCCTAATTTCATTTTTCAGGTAGAGAATGGAAGTCCAGAGGATGGGGAACAGTCCTAGTGGGGAAGACCCTATTCATCTATAAAGCAAAGGGGTGAGGGCTCTTTGTGTTCCAAGCTGATGTCAGAACACACCTGGAAGATGATGTGCACATCTGGGCCCTGCCCTTGCAGACTACAATGAACGAGCAGATGGCGGTGGCGGCGAGCCTTCTGGTTCTCTCATTAGGTCCAAGAACCTGAGATCTGTGTGAGGAAGCCTTGCCCTGTGAGAGCAGAGACGCTGCCTTCAGGGGATGGGGAGGCACAGTTCAAGCTCAGAAACAGGGTTCTGTTCTTGTGCGGTTCTCCCCTCTTTGGCTGGTGACAACTCCTGTGGGTGTCACCTGGCAGATCCCAGGTGAGGAAGTACATGCTGCTCATCTGTTATATCTCTGCTTCCTTCCTTTTGGCCTGCAGAATTTCAGAGGCAAGAAAGTGTCCGGTCCCAGCACAAAGGCATCCAATTATACGACACCCCTTATGAACCTGAGGGCCAAAGCGTCGACTCGGACTCCGAGAGCACAGTCAGCCCCCGACTGCGGGAGAGCAAGCTGCCCCAGGATGACGACAGGCCTGCCGACGAGTACGACCAGCCATGGGAGTGGAACCGGGTCACCATCCCAGCTCTGGCAGGTAAGGAGCCAGTGGCCCCCCTCAGAGGGGGCTGCTGACCCCACACTCCATACTCATCTTCGGTAAAGGGCGTACATGCACCGTCCCTCCTGCTCAGGTAAACCACAGGACTTCGTTTGATAATCCATTTGGGCTGGGCTGTCCTCTCCTCTAGTCCAGCTGGGCCCCTCAAAGATGATGAGGGTCCTGGAAGGAAGGGAGGCCAGGTCAGGCCAAGGGGAAATCCAGGGCTGGCCCCTAGGGCCTCAGTTCCAGTCTCCCTAGTCTTCACAGACAGCCCAGATGATCTCATTGTCTGACTCTGTCTTTGTCCTGTTGGTAATGCTCTAATTCACTGAAGCCTATTTCAGAAGGAATTTTCTTACAGACTAAAAGAAGACCAATCTGCAAAGCAGCTCGTGCTGGGCATGAGGGAGCCCAGTGCTTCCATCTAGCTGTACAGCTGTGATAGGCCTGCATGCACCCAGGGCCACCACGTCTCCTGTCCCAGCTCGGGCATGAAGCCATTCACGGAGCATAGGCATGGGCGCATCCTGACCTCAAGCTGGCTCTTGCCCTGGCCAAGAATGACTGAGGTGCCCCCCTCTGCCTTGCTCTGAGACTGGTTCTGCAGAATCTGGATATCTGTCCCAGCACTAAAACTCCTCTCACACAGCCTTTTGGAAAGCTGCCTGCCACATGTGTTAATAGGTCTTAAGCTGATGTGCACACCCTTTGATTCTAAGCCCAGCGTTTAGGATCCATGCCAGGGTTTTGATGGAAAACTCAGAAAAGGCATTGTTTATGATCATGAAAGGTGGGGAACAACCTGAATGTCTAGTAGACAGGGATTAGTTAAATGGAATACCATACAGCCACTAATAGGTGATGTTGACAAAGAGTTTATAATAACTGAGGAAAATGCTTCTGTTTAATGTTAAGAGGTGAAAAGCCCGGGGCGCCTGGGTGGCTCAGTTGGTTAAGCGACTGCCTTCAGCTCAGGTCATGATCCTGGAGTCCCAGGATCGAGTCCCACATCGGGCTCCCTGCTCAGCAGGGGGTCTGTTTCTCCCTCTGACCCTCTTCCCTCTCGTGCTCTGTCTCTCATTCTCTCTCTCAAATAAATAAATAAAATCTTAAAAAAAAAAAAAAGAGGTGAAAAGCCCGATGCAAAACTCAGATCTAAGAGTTAAGGCATATGAAAAAAGAGACACTGAATGACTCATTTAATTCTTGCCACATTGAAGGTCCAAAAGGGCGAGTTTTTCTTTTCTTTTTTTTAAGATTTTATTTATTTAGCGCACGCATGCAGGGGGGGCAGCATAGGGAGAGGGAGAGAGAGAATCCCAAGCAAGACTCCATGCTGAGTGCATAGAGCCTGACACGGGGCTCAATCCCATGACCCAGAGATCATGACCTGTGCTGAAATCAGGAGTCAGATGCTTAACCAACTGAGCCACCCAGGTCCATAGGGGAGTTTTTATTTTTAATTTAAGATTCATTTTTGCCTGAGGTCTCCCCTTTTCATGCACAATTAGACCTTTCCTTTCTAGCCCCCAGCAGTGAGGCCTCTGCCCTACCTCCATCCTGATCCCCTCAGTTGATGTTCCAGCCACATACTACTCACAGTTCCCTGGACGTAGTATGCAGTGTGCAAATACCATTCCTTCTGCCTAAATGTCCTTCCCTGCCATGGCAAAAATCCTGTACCTCCTTCCAGACCCAGCTTAAATATTGTCATCTCTGTGAGCCCTCCCTGAGACACAGCCGTGTGTCCCAAGGGCTTTTTTACTGCCTCTCTGGGCCTGTTGAGCTTCTTGCACTCAACTCTGGTAGAACGTTTCTTTCATCATATGGTTAATTCTGTTAGATGCTGGTCTCTGCCTGCCAAGCTGTGAGCACCTGGCCAAGAGCCAGAGACAAACATTGTGTGGTTGAAGGTCAGGTTGCCCCTGTGCATTTTATAGCCTCCTGTCTTGCCCTGGCACAAGGGAATCCAAGGACTGCCCCTGTCCCCTGGCGTGGCTAATAAGGGGCTTTACTCCTCCTGGGCGTGAGAGGAGCTGGAATGGGGCCAGTGCCATCCAAGAGCTTACTCTTTGCAAACACCATTTTGATTAAAGGGCTCATGTGGCAGCTCTCCCAGACATCTAGAGCCCTTGGCATGAGATAGTGTGATGGGGCCTCACATTGGACTGACCACCTGCAGGTCAATCAAGGGTGATGTTACCTTTGATGCTCTAGTTTGGTCTGGTGCCATGCTGCTCAGAACGTGGTCCCTGGACCAACAGCGTTGCATCACCTACGAGCTGGTAGGAAATGCAGGGTCTCGGGCCCCACCCCAGACCTACGGAGTCAGTCTGTTTTAACGAGGCCCCCAGGTGATTCACATGCATGTTGAAGTGAAATGCACTTAACCTATAGGACCTTAACTGTTCAAAAGGCTCTCGGACCAGAACCTGCCCGCTTCTGCCCAAAGGGGGTTTTAGAACTCCTGTACATTCTTTACAAAGGATCACAAGGTCTCAGCTAGAACAGTCTCCTTGTAAGTTTCTGGGCCACAGATATCCATTCTGGACTTGGCTTCATGTCACTGTGTTGCTGTCACAGGTGTCATTGTAGATCTGCTTCTTAGGCTGCCTATAGAAGACAGACTCAGAATCAGGTCCCCGTCTGTGTCTCATCAAGTCACTTGGTTCTGTGTGGCCTGCTCCAAAGTATATACTGGCTGTCCTCTTCCCAAGAAGCTTTTGGTTTGGTTCTGGTTTCTGGGGCATAGAAGGAAGCTCTTTCACTCGGGCTGGAGGGATGCTGTAAGCACCAGTCTTTAGTCATGACCAGATGCCTCCCCATGTCTGTGGACAGAGCCTGTTGATGTAGTGTTAGTAGGCGAGGAGCACCCTTCGGTATCCTAGCCCAGAGTGAAAATGGAGTGAGAGGTGGATGGGCCACCTTCCAGGTAAGGAGGATGAGTTGAAACAGCACAGTTGGATAGCTCGAGTGCTGCCATGGACTCGTTTGTAAACCCAGAAGTGTGGCTGCCCGGGAATGAAGAACAATGTCCCACGTGCATCTGTAGTGTTTGTGCACATGCATGGCTATGTCCGTACGCATGTTCTTTGTCATTGGTGTTGTCAGGGAGCAAGGCAGCGCTTGGCTAGGCCCTGTCCTCCATGCAGTACCTGTTTGAAATGTGCCACATGGTTTTTCTAGACTTTCAGGAGCTCTCTGATAGGCCCTGGGGAGTCTGGGGTGCAGGATCTGTAGCTGGGGAGCATCTGTATGGGATAAAATTGGCTGGGCAAAATCATTACTCTCTTTCCACCCTTTGTGTTCTCTGGTTCTGCATTTTTAGCCTGGATGAGGGAACCTGGGCAGTGTTTTCAAATGTCCAAAGGGTGTGGATTTTGAGGGAGCCCCAAAGGGCAGAGCTGGGCCCACCAAGAAGGAGCCACAGGGATTTAGGATCCAGGTGAGCGGTAAGAATGTCATTTATACCCAGAAGTATATGAGCTTCCCCTCACTGGGAATTTGCAAGCAGAAGCTCAGTTGAGGCAGGATTGCTGGTGGAGGCTTTGCCCAGAAGTGTGGGGGTGGCCTGTCACCTCCAGGATTGCTTCCATGTTTCAGCACCCCACCATGCTGATCATAGACTGGGAGAAGGGAGAGCCTCTGAATTATCTCCATGATTCAGTTATTGCATTCATGGCAAGAGGCATTTCTCAAAGACGGGCTTTGGCATCTCCATAGAAGTAACCCTTCCCAGCCAGTGGCTCCAGACCAGCCTTTATGGAAGTCAGACCCTTCCCAGCTCAGCCATACTCTGAGGCTCTGGGGGCTGCTGTCTCGGGAAGGCTTGATTATCACTCCCTGGTTGTCGTGAGAACAGCTATTGCATGGTGTGAGGTGGTTCTGGCTTCTTGGGAATGAAAGTCTTCCCACCTCCTAGAATTCTGTGGCCAGGTGAGTGAGAAATACCACAAGGTCTCCAAAAAGCCTTGGGCCTTCATTGCCTGCTCTTCCTCCAGGAAGCCGACTGTGGCCTTAGCCAGAACCTCCAGTCACCCAGCACTGGAGTCCCTTCCCACACACGTGGCCTCTGTTGATCCCAGCCCCCTGGTCAGGTTTCTGGCACCTCCGACTACCAGGAACAGGCAGGCTGCAGCTGGGCCATGCACGGAGAGGTGGTGTGGCTTCCATCAAGCTATCAGCCCCTTTCCCCCCTGGCAGAGACACCTGCCTTCAGAGCTGGTGGTTTTAGGTCCTGGCTTGCTTCGACTCACCCCCTGGGAATCTTTACAGCAACAAATTGCAAGGTGGCAGGTGGGTCTAGAAATGGCCTTCCTGCCTAGCCCTAAGCCCCCAGATGCAGCTCTGAGCCCACACAATGGCTCTTTGGAACTCTCTGCCCAGTAGTGGGGCAGGAAAAGCAGCCTTGGGTGATTCCACACTGTCTTGGGGAGGCATGGGTAGGTCTGGAGGGTCTAATCAGCCCTGGGCGTTGTGGCAGGGTCTGTGACATGGACAAAAGGAGCCTGCACAGGAGGTGGCCACACAGGGAAGAGCAGAGGAGCTAGGAGCATAACCTGGAGAAGCAGACATGGGCTCAGAGTGGCATGGGTTAGGTGTCTTCACATCTCTGAGGGGCCACTGGGAGGACAGGGATTGAACCTGTCGTAGGAACCTCGGTTTTCTCGCCTGGGAAATGTGCCCACTGCAGATGGTCCCAGTGAGGCTTAAGGGAACCGCATCACGAAAGTGCTGGCCATTGACTAAGTACTTTCTGTCTGCATTGTCTCATCAAATCCCACAGCAACCTGCTGGGAAATGAGTTTCCTCATTTTACTGATAAAAAAGACTGAGGTCCAAAGAGAAGGGGCCCATGGCTAATCAGCCACAGAGCCAAGATTTGAACTTGAGAAGTCCAACTCCAGATCCAAGCCCCAACCCTGGATGTCCAGGCTCCCTGCTGCTGTCAAACATGCTGCACAAAATATGGGTGGAGTCCATGGGAAATGTCACATGCCTTTCATTTGTACAGATTTGTACAGATTTCTCCCTCTGGGAGGCTACCTTACTGGGATGTG